TCCTCGAGAGCCTGACGAAGCTGATCTTCGGTATATTGAGGCATTATATATAGAAGAAGACATGTGCAAAAGATGAGCCCATTTGGACGCGAATTGAAAATGTTGTGATAAAAGGAGGTTGGGGGTGGGCATTGGGTTGTGGTGGATTTTCGCGTTTTTGTGGGTGCCAGAAACAGGGGGGTGCCAGGAAGTGGGTATGTTGACTTACCTTGCAAAATATATCGTGATAAATCACTGCCAAACATAAGAACCCAGAGTACATGTATCATAGCCTCCGAGGCAATCCAGAGAATACAAGCTGATGACAATGTATTGAACTGCTTAGAGTATCGCGGGGTCGGATCCGGTCCTGTTGCTTTGACCTCAATTGAAGCGCCCTCGGATCCATTTGACAGCTTCAGTGTGACGCGGCCCGATCTTGAAAGATGAGTTGCTTGACAGATTGCGACATGCGGAAAGCGGATAGCTATCGAGTTCAGTGCCGCCCGATTGCGAGTCCGACTATCGATTCCAAATGGTTGATTATCGTCTCTTAAGATGGACTGGAGCATATCGCGATTTCCAGTTCTTACTACCACAGGCTTTTTCATGAGGCAATATTACCCTATTAGTACCTTGACATCATGCTACCTTCCGAGTGAATACCTTTATCAACGATGACATCTAAACCGAATCTTTGGGTCTAGACGCACAAAGTGAAGTCGTACGGGACTGGCCGTCATAGGAAAGACCGAGGATCTTAAAATGGCATTGGTACGATTACCTGTTTGGGCATCGAGCTCGTGCTTTGACTCTGGTGCCCCTCGGACGTGTTCTCGGTGTGGGGGGCAAACATTGACTTTTGCCATGACAGGATTGAAACCCGGCGCATTCGGTTGCGGGGGTCTTTGAGGGTCGCATTTATGCCGGGGGAAGATGCCGGCCGGGGGACCGAACACGAGGTGAATATTCATTTTGAAGTGGGTAATAAACACGAACATGAGATTGAGCCCATGAGCGCACCGAGCCGGACTCGAGTGTGTGACTGAAAATGGTGTAGAATGAGATCATCTAGCATGTTCGGATAGACGAGAAGGCATCGTCCGTTGAGCTTTTTGCTAGAGATGTGGAATAGCTTCTAATCCTCGCACTGCAGAAGAAGCTTAGCTAAAGTGAGTTTACTCAGCCACAATAGGTTAGTTTCCCCAGCCAAGGGCAGTAGTTTTCCACAGTCTAAGGGAGCTGGATGTGATGAGGCATCCAATCATTTCAGATAACGGACGAAACTTGTGTGAGAAGGCATTGAATGACACGTACTCTGCTTGATACATGCAAGTAATGGGAAGCTGATGTGGGCTGAGCTGAGCCTGCATATGCTCTGCTATGCCTCGGGAATACCACTAGCGCACATGCCATACATGACAATAGGAAGAGAGCCGTGGCAGGAGGCAATGCAGTATTCGTAAAATCAGATGCTTGGAAAGAGTCAGGTCAGATCTGGGAATCTGCACTGATGCAAGGTGCTGCAGATTGCCGAATAAGAAAGGAGGGTCGCCCAGACAAAGCCGACAGGGGCAGGGCAGAGACACTGGAGACACTGGCACTTGACACGGCGACTCCTGCGGTCTGTTCACTGTTTCTATTCACAGAATCGACGTATGAAAGAGGACGTTGTTAAGATCTTTAAGTGGTGAATATTCCCCGCCCCTCCCCTACATCTGCACGAATTCTGAAGAAAAACGAACCAGTGACATACTGTTAAGTCAGTCTCGTGACGTCACGTACCCGTGATCCACAATTCAACCGGAGCACCGGTGACTGAACACGATCGCGGGGACCTTCCAGAAACGCAACATCTTTTTGACCTCAGCTGGAAGCCGCGACCACTTGGCTCCTGCCTCCGTACGGAAATATTTCACATTGTCGACTTGGATTGTCGACCAAATATCATCAACAATTCTTCCGTTGCTGCTTCAACTCACCACATTATCGACATCTTCAGGAGCACACAAGAGTCGGAGGAAGCTCCAGCGATAGACAGCCCTGGGCATATCGCCATTGTGAATTCCCATCATGGCGACCCAACAGCCCTCAGGCCTCACTGCCGAGCAGATCAAGGCTCTGTTCAATATCCTCACCCATTTCGAGACCTACCACGAGATCGAAGACTTCAAGAAGCCAGAGACCATTTCCGACTATGGCTACCCTTTTGCGCAGAGCTCCAAGCCCGGCGAGGCCGTCACCTATGCCCCAGAGTCCTCGGCACCCCTCCTACAGTCTCTCTTCACCAGATTTATCCTGAAGCTACCGGGCGTCTCCTCCTTTGTTCCCGAGTTTTGGAACGTCCGAGTTCAGGGAATCCTTAAGAACTTTGCCGAGGCCGAGCTGTCCGAGAGCTACGAGAAGGGCGCGCTGGGTACTAGAAAGACCCTGGCGACCGCCTCATCCACTGTCATCGAGACAGTCGCGCGTGGCATGATTGGTGGCGGACCCTATAGCGACCCCTCGACGCGGCTTGAGCAGTACGATCTGAACAGAGCGGAAGACCTGGCGCAGGCCTGGGATGATGCTATGCATGACCTCGTTTACGGGGACCTCTGCGACAGGTTACTTGACCACCTTGCCGAGACGGACGACTTCGAATCGCACTCTCCAATGATCCAGGCGGCGAACGAGTACATCATTTTCCAGTGAGTATTGCTCTGTGCGAAGGCGACTTGAAGGAGTTAGAGTGACTAACACGGACTGACAGCTTGGCTGGACTTGCCCACCAAGTGCTGGTTGTCTCACCTGAGGGCCAGTACCTCGTCAAGCTTATGGAGCAAGTTCACAAGATGGTGCCATACAACATGGTACGGCAGACACTCAAGGTCGGCAATGCTGCGACAATGATTGCTGGCATGATGAAAATCTTTCTGGCCAAGCTCAGTGTCGGTTCGGTTTCGAACTGGTTTGGCATAACAAAGGATGCTGCAGATGGCATGAATCTTATGCAAAGGTTCGAGTTCCTTGAGCTGAGGCCCTCCTACCTAGATGAACATTAAGACTAACAAAGCTGCAGGATCATCTCCGTCATCCTCGGCTGGGACTGCGCAGATTTCAAGAAGACGATCGACAGAATCGCCAAAGACAAGAACAGGCCAAGTAAAGGCGCTCTGGATGCCATCAAGGCCCACACTCAATCCCCTCCGACCGAACGCGAAGTAATCCGAGCCATGAGCGCGCAACAAGACAAGTCCATCATCGCCGTCATCCTCGAGACCGCAAACCCCATCCTACTTTCCGACCTCAGCGAGGACGAGCATGCAATGTGCCTAGAATACTACGCAGCACTACTGGCTATGCGCGATCGGGAGGAAATTATCAGCATTCTTTGCAGGCAGAGCCCAGACTACCTCACCCAGGCAGTCCGCGAGGCAGTAGCCGGGATGGATCCCATTATCCGCGCCGTACACAACAAGGTCGACCTCTCAGACCATGTCAGGGACTACCACATGTTCCTCGACCAGCTGATCGCCTGCAGCAAACCAAAGAAGGGGAAGAACAAGGATGATACGGAGACTATGCCCACGGTGGAGGACTACGTCAAGCTGTGCAAGGACAATAAGCATCTCTTGTACAAGTGGCTGCACGCTGTGGGCGGCAAATGCCCAGAAGTCATGGATCAGTTCAGGGAGTGGGCAAAGGACTCCCTGGTTGCGTTCCATAAGACTAAGAATGGCGGCGCGAGCATCGAGGAGCAGCTGGGTGACATGTTCAACCAGGTTCCCGATAACAGCAGAGCGGCCCTCCTTCCCATCATCGACGCGCACGCTGCATACCTACGGGACCTAGAACAACTGTCCTTGACGCGCATGCAGACCATCATCGAGGGCAACTCGACGAGTATGGCTGGTCCGGGTGTCTACTTGGTACGGTGGCAGAACCTGATGGATGATACCCTCATTACGCCTGTGAGGCCCGTCGGTCCGGTGCGGTTGGGCAAAGACGTCAAGGGGCTGGCGCCGACACAAGGCAAGCGGGGTTCTGCTTCAAGTGATGCTGGCGAGATCATTGCGGCCGTCCGCGACATGAACCTGTCTTCTTTACCCGAAGCGCCAGATGTGCAGGCGGTTATCCAGGCGCTGAGGCCTAGGTTCAAGCAGATGCTCACCATAGCATCCAGAGCCAATGGTCCTCCGACGAACGGCACGGCTAACGGACATGCTTCGCCTATTTGAAGTTGGATGGACTGTCGACCAGTATTATGACATGTTTCCTAGGATTTCTTTTTCGGGCTTTGGGGGTGGATTAGCATGGTATCACATGGTGACTACTACAAACGACTTGCACGAGAACATGGATTGATGGCGCTCTGGGGATTGGCCTGGCGTTTGGAAGGAATGAGGATTGGTTTTGGCCTTGGACAAAGGCTGCATCGAAAGACAGGCGGGATACCTGCTGTAGAGCCGAGCATAGACATTGATCAGAGATGTCGTAAAGTAAACCGTGTATCGCAGTGCTCCGTGAGATTTGCCGGACTGGAAAGTATGTTCAACAGATAAAGAGATTTGGCATATGCGGTCGAAGCTTATCCCAGTCCTCAATGAAGGCGTGAACAAGTGTCCGCATCTCGCCATTTGTCGAACTTGAATTTATCCATAGGTCTGGGACTGCGTCATTATGCCGGTCTCTGGGATAGCCTCTCTTCCCACCTATGTTTCTCCTCGCACTTGCCGTGCACCCACACACAGTTGACAACGTACAGGCAGATCATCTTGGCAAGAACGTTGCGGCAATCAACGGCGAGCAAATGTCAGCAAACAAGCATCCCGTCATCCCCAAGGCGCAGCGGCAAAAGTTTGCCGCCAGGCCATACCAAGTCAGGTAGCTCGTCGAGATCATCTTGCGTAGCTAACCGATTTCGCCCCAAGCTCATCCCTGTCTAGCGCCGAAGGGACAGAGCACGAGGGGATATTTAGACGAATGATGCGCCGTCAGCTCGCTTCAAATATCCCTCACTCATTTCGCTTTCGTCAAAAGTTGCCCTAGTATCGGTTGCCTCCCTGGTCGGGCCCGACTGGACTTTCCCTCCCTTTGAAGCTTACCCGCCTCAACTTTCCCTGCCTTATTATCCCACATCCTCGTCTTAATTCTTTTTGATATTCCAGGACCACTCAAACAGTTCAGCTCAACACAGCATTGGGAGCTCGTGGTAACAGATCATACCTCTCGTTTCTCAAGAGGATTCATCCTTCATCCCATAATGTCTACAATCACAACCACAACCCACCGTGCCCCAAGCACAGGCATCGACCTCGCCAACCTCTCCCCCAACAACGACCCAGAATCCCGCTCCTTCTCCTCCTCCGAGATCAACGACCCCTACAACCTTGGCACACACATCAAATCCGACGCCGACATAGTGCAACTCAAATCTGCATACAACACAAACAAGCCTCGAAACAACAGCAACACCACGCGAAGACGCCTCATCCACCACAGCTTCACCCGCGGCGGCGCCAAAGACGCAAAGCTGCAAGATTTTTATCGCGCCCAAAACGACAAGATCCGCTCCTATCTCAAGAGCGTAGACGACCACGAGCGCGAGGCAAAGGAGACGCAGGGTGATAATAACCTCAAGTATCAGATCGCGGTGAAGGGCAGCTTGGCGGCCAATGTCGTTCTCTCGGCGCTGCAGCTTTATGCTGCGATAACGTCTGGCTCGCTGTCGTTGTTCACCACGATGGCTGATTCTGTCTTTGATCCGCTGTCTGGTGTTCTGCTACTGCTCTCTCATCGGGCGGTGAAGAAGGTTGATACGCAAAAGTACCCTTCTGGCAAATCACGCATCTCTACCGCGGGGAATATCGTCTTCTCTTTCATCATGTTCTCCGTCTCGCTGGTGCTGATTGTCATGTCGGCGCGGGACTTGGCTGCTGGATCTGAGGAGGAGACGAACGAGTTCCACTTCACTTCCGTCATCGCCGTCGCAATTGCATTTGGCACGAAGTTTTGTCTGTGGCTGTATTGCTGGTCCATCAAGGACATTTACTCCCAGGTCGAGATTCTGTGGCGCGACCACCGTAACGATCTCTTCATCAACGGATTCGGTATCTTTACCTTTTCGGCTGGAAGCAAGATCAAGTGGTGGATCGATCCTATGGGCGCCATTCTGTTGTCTTTTTTGATTGCGGGATTGTGGTTGAGGACTGCGTACGAGGAGTTTCAGTTGTTGATTGGGGTGTCTGCTGAGCCCGAGTTCTTGCAGCTCATTACCTACATCGGTAAGCTGATATCAACTTCTAGTCAATGAGATCTGAGAATGAGAACTGACAGAATGTTAGCTATGACTCATTCGCCTGAGGTCAAGCAGATTGACACCGTTCGCGCGTATCACAGCGGCCCGCGATACATCGTTGAGATTGACGTCGTCATGGACCGTCATGAAAGGCTCGAAATCGCACATGATGTGGCCGAGGCTCTCCAAATCAAGATTGAGAAGTTGCCCGGAGTAGAGAGAGCATTTGTTCACGTTGACTATGAGACGGATCATAAACCTGTAGGTCTTTTTGACCCTTCTTCGTTGTTGTTGACTCAATCAACGCAGGCTTCAGGCGATATCACTGTCCTAGGCTGTCACGGTTCTTAATTGCTGACGATGAAAACAACAGGAACACGACTTGAAGAAGGATCTATGACAGCTTGCTACATAGTACTTCTATTGCCTTTAGAAGCCCCGCTACTGTGCACGTACAAGTTGGGATTCCCATGTTTGATGAATCTGGACTTGTACACAGCACTAAACAATACCAATTCAACTGAAATATCTCAACGAATAGGAATTCTGAATAAGCCATTCATATGAATGCTCTAAACTTTTCGAATAAAGATGATATACTGCCTAATTACATCTACGTTTATTCTAGTACTTGAAATACGTACAATGAGGGAAAGACCATGGATTTCGGTCTCGCTAGCAGAATCAGCGTAGAACTGGATTGTTGTAAACCGAGCTCAATCAACTATGTTTACCAACTTTATTCTATACTTTAGCTACTCATTACTCAGTTGTACCAGATCGTACGCTGGTATCATCGACACATATCCAGCTGTCCGAGCTGGCAGAAGATCGATGAGCAAACGCCACCCGCCGTCCAGTAATGCCGTTCGAAGCCTCTCCTCGTTTCGGAAAACCTTGTCGGAATGATGGTAAAGGTGGCCTCCAGTACGGATCATCTGACCGGCTTTCGCCGGCTCTGGAAGCGAACTTTTCCAGTTCCATTACCAGCCTTTCGCAGCTGATTCTGTTGTCTCTCTCGCACACAAGGACCTTATGCCTCAGTAGGTCTAGAAAGTCTGTGAGGAAGCTTGGTTCCTCGGTCTTTGATTCTTGAAAGAGTTCATCAAGCCACTATGTTGATCTCAGTCAGCGGGCCCTGACAAAGTAGGTAAAGTACCTTGACAATGTCGAATCTAGATGAGCAACAGAAAAGTCAGAACTTACGTTGTCCACGGCAAGTTTCAGAGAAGTTCGGACCGCTCCGGGAACTCCGCCATCATTATAAGTTGCCACGAAGAACTTATCTTCTGCCCATCTGAACCGCTTCTTAGAGTCGTCCCAATCTCTTTCCATAGCACGGGCTTGTCCAAATTCCCCTACAGCCAAGTGCCCACGAACAACCCAAGTCAAGAACTCAGAGAAGACGCAGCCCAGGGCCCACACATCAGCTTTCCTGGAGTACACTTCCCCAAGCTGCACAAGCTCGGGCGCTTCATAGGTAGGTGCAGGCTGTCGAGCATCGGAACCATGATTGAACGACCGCGTTCGCGATGTGAGCCTATGAAACTCTGTGAGGCCAAAGTCGGCAATCTTCAACGTGCCGATACCCGGTGGTTTATCCAGGTGATTAAACAACAGAATGTTCTCGGGCTTGATATCGCCGTGGATTCCGTAGATGTCTCTGTCAGTGTCTTCATTTTCGTGTATTCGATTTGCTCGTTTGAGTGCTTTCACGCGAACCTCGTGGATGCTTTGTAGAGCCGCTGCCAGCGCATGACATTGCTCGGCCACCCAACGCAGGAGTATGTTAGGTTGGCGGGCGCCCTTTTGCACCTGTGTAGGGCACTTGTTCCAAAAGTGCTTTAAGTTGCCCCCCTCTGCCCAGGGAAACAAGAAGGAGTACTTGTCTCCAATCTTGAAAGTCGCGCAAAGATCAAGAATGTGGTCTCCCGGTTCCATTTTGGTAAAGGCCTTGAGCTCTTGCTCGAATTCATCCTCTGCTTGGTCAGGGTCTGTTTGAAGCAGGGTTTTCAGGGCGAATGCTTTGTGATTGTGCTGCAATTCACCCAGGTTAGTAAAGTCTGAAATAATTGCGAGGGCTCCAGATATGAGGTAGGTTAAGGGCAATACTCACAAAAGAATGATGATCTTGATGTATCTCAACTTTGCGGACCATAGAGAAACTTCCCTCCTTTCTCTCATCCCCAATGAAAGTCCAGGGCATGATGACCTCTTCAGCCAAGTGAAACGTCGTCACTTCTCCGTTTTTATCGCGATCAATAATAGGAGCAAGTATCTTCCACTGATTTTCATAGAACTCTCTCAGTAATCCTTTTCCTCTTCTTTCGAAGCAAGAAAGAGCCCTGTTCGCAAATTGAGACTTTGGACTAATGAGTTGATCCCGGGATACAGGGTTGAGCCACTCAAAAGGTAGGTCACGATCGCGTAAACCATCCTTCATGAGCGCCGGTAACGTTTCAATTCTGCGGATCAGAACCAGGATGACGAAGATCCTTTGACTTGTGTCACCTCCCTTGTGTGTGCCCGTTTCAGTGCCGCAGACGTAATCAGTAAGGCGACCCAGCGTTGGCTCGGAGAAGTGTTGTCGAAGTACGGCACTGACACGGTTCCGGTGGCTGATAGCGTGCAAGTCACCAGAGGGAAGCCATGGTCTCGAGTGTGTAGGCCCGGTGGACTGCATCGCTTCGTGAATCTGTTCGCACATGGCTTCTGCCGCCCCCATTCCGATTTCGTTCTCTAGCTGTAGATCTGCTTCGGTATTGCTCGGCTCGCCGTGTGGCTCAAATGCGCCGCCCACAAAGCCAGGGAACATAGTATCTGGCTGTGAATAGAGTAGTGCAGTGTTGTTTTCTTCGACTAGGTCTATACCGTAGTTGTAATTATTAGACTTTGTCGTAATCGAAACATCTGATTGTTCGCGGACGACATTTGGAGGACGACGGCCTTCGGGGTAGAATTCCAAGCTCCTCTCAGGATTGAAGGCATTGAGAAACTCCTTTGATCGTTACATTAGTTTCAGAGTCTTTGTAAGAAATAGTGATAGATATATTTGCTGTCGACTTACTCGTCCAACGTCGAATTGAGACATCCTGGCAGGCTTTCGTCGAGGGATCAGGAATGATTGGGTACTACCCGCTATGACTAGTAGGTGCGATAGGCACCGATGGCTAAGGTAGTTGGAGCATGTGTTCCAGACAGGTGACTCTGACTCAATGTTTTGGCCTACGCGTGCTTGTATGCGGCAAATGACGAACAAGAGGCAAAAAGGCCTGGACAGTGAGGTTGCCGAGTCCTGGATGGCCGCTCAATGGATGGGAGGTACTGATAACATGACACACGTATCAGGCCCCGAAATCCCCGGAGCCTGGTCACTTTTATCAGCGCATGGGAGTCCGGCGAGGCATTCTTTCCACTGGCACTAATGATACATTGTCGAGGCATTGCCGGGATTGACTCGATGTGCCAACTCTTACCCTGCACCCCCTGGCATGTCTTTGAGCGGCAAGTGATAGCCTGCAGAATGTGAATGCGCACATTGGTTGGGGGTGGCTTGGCGGGTTGCCTGGCTGCCTTCTGATGCATCAAGTTGCATTTTGTTGTGGTTCGCCCCGCGCGCCTTCGCACATTCTCGGCCAGTTTCAAAAAGGTACATCAGGCTACAGATTCTGCATCCTATAAGTAGTATCTGGACCCGGCATTTCCACCTCTCCCAGAGGGCTTCCGCTCAAGTAATAATCATCCTTAGCCGTCTCGAGCGATTGAAGTCGATTCTGATATCATGCCCAGTCCGAGAGCATACTCATCATCATCGGCAATGAGGTCTTCGCCGACATCCTACCAATCCTGGTCGGGAGCTCGCTTTACAGCAAAAATCCCAGGACGCTTTGTAAATCCAGCCAAACTGGAGAGCTTTCTTGATCGGAAGTTTGACGACTACTACACTGTAGAGGTATTCCCATGGTCTGATCCCAATTTCCTGTGGGCGAGCCCTGATAATGAGCAGATGCGCAATAATTTCTATAGCGTCACCACGCCGTATCATCTTACGACCGAAGAGATCAAACGAAACTGTTAAAGTCACTCGCGTTTGGCTCAGGAGCCTTGTATCGATATCTCAGGCGTGGAAGGGACCTTATCGGTTCTTTGGGCAGGCTCGGGAAGCCCCCCTCCATTCTAGGTGGTCGCAGCGGGTGTCTGCTTTTGTCGAGATTGGACATGTTCATTATGACTTCTCATGAAAATAATATCACCATCGGCTTTTAGGTACTCTCGTATCAACTCTTTCAAGACATACCGTACGCCTCTTGATGACTCTCCTCTCAAACAATAAGGCTGTCTTATGCTCATCGCTCTCAAACGGAGACTGTATGCACCAGCAGATTACCTAAGATATCTGATCAATACAGCGTCACTGACGACATAGATATTATGGAGTTCAACTTTTACTGTCATACTGAGAGAAAATATGTGCTAAAGGCTCGACGATGCATGTATGTATGTGTATGATGAGATAAAGTACTGAGCATCCGGAAACGAAGAGGCAGGTTACCAGCCCCATGATGATCGTCTACGTTGGCCATAAACCAATCTGTTCTGCCTTCATCTCCTCCTACTTGCATGACCTTTCATCTTGACTTTCACCGCTGCGATTTCGGCCTATATCATAGTCATTATTTGGAACATCTCAAACGATTCATCGTTGACTCACGGAACTCAATAACCTCGAGGTCTGGAAGTACCATTGGTTATCAACATACTGTGTGTTTGTCAGTATATCATGAAAGGAAGGCATGCGAAGGTTGAGAGAACCAACCCCATGGATTGCAAAGTTGCCGTCTCCAACAATTTGCGCCAGAGCTTTGTTCAAACGGCTCTGACTACCATACTGTATAGGCAAAGTTTGAGTGTACATACTGCCTACAAAACACTGACCTCAGACGAGGCGTTTTGATCTCAAAGTGGAAAAGCCACTGGGACTGGACATAACAGACCTAACTACGTGGACTGACAATACGCGTGATCCTCTCACTATTAAATAAGTACATATGCGAACCTCAAGAGGCTGAAAACTTACCGAACGATATTTTTGCCAGTGAAGCATGGGTGATAATCACGCTACTGTTCAAGGCGAACCTCCCAGCCAGGATGTGCCCACCGATGCCTAAGTTGCATGCATGCACTCAGTGCATATGCAGACCCACGCACAGCCCCGAATGTAGGCATGATGTTCCATTCTACCACGTTGGGCGTTCTGCTTGGCTGATTTAGTATCAAGAAAGAGCTGCACAACGGTGGCAGCCATTTTCCCGGGTCCAAACCAGAACGGCCCACACTTCTCGGGAGATGGGGAACGAGCCTGCCGACGCACACCGTTCCTCGCCAACCGGAGCATCCCGACAATGCTCAACGCGAGGCGCCTTTCGAGCGGGGTAAACCTTTGGAAATTTTGCCGGATTATTGAAACCAGATCATGCTGACGGTGAGCTTAGCTCTTCCCGAGGTAGGTACTCAGACTTGGCCTGATGGGATGTAATCCGGGGAATCTTACTGCCCATCTCAGGGTTCGAGGTTAAAACTGATCTCTGTGACCTAATTACCTCACATGCACCTTCTACTTGATGTCTCTCGTGATCTCAACCATCAGTCTATTTCTCATGAACTACCCGAAAGCTCGCTTAAGTTTGATTCAATACTTGAAGCTTCGTCCGACCCAACTTACCAGTCGCCATGTCATGGCTATGCCGTGATCCGAAAATATTCGAGGAAGATCTTGAGGTGCTTGACTTTGAACCGACAGAAAGTCAGCTGATCTCAATCGAACGACAAGATAATGTGGGATGAATTCTCCATGAGCCGACTTTTGATGAGCAAATAGTTCACGTTCTGACATCAAGAAGGCTCTTGACCATGCAGAGTCCTGGACAATGAAGACGTGTGCACACTGGAAACAATGGTTAGAGACGGTAAAACTTCCCGATCATATTCTCACTGCCTTACGGTAGCCAGACAGAATTAATATCGTTGATTTATAGGATCGGTCGGGGCGACGGTTCCCCGAATCTAGCAGACTGAATCTAATATTAGGGGGTCGGGCGGAATTTCCTTGGGAACATGATCCGTCCGCTCTTTCGACACTACCCTGGTCATACCAAATCTTTTCAAAAGTTCAGCGACGCTTCCTCGTGCACAGTGGTATCGTGAGGACGATCAATCGTAACACGAGCTGCATGTTTTCTCAGATGAATTTTGGATGGAACTTGAATGATTCCAAGCAGAAATCGCTCGGTACGTGCCCATCTGAACGATGAGATAGCCGGTATTAGGTAACTCACCAAAGATAGTATACCTCTGCAGGACGACAGCATCGTGGCCAAGAGACATGGCTTTATCCGTGACTTTTATGCCCAGCACTTTGACTACGAATGCTGTCTTGTTCGGATGTGATCTCAAGAAGCCAGACATGTACGACGGTCGCATGACCTTGGCCGATATTATCACCAGTCGACTGAAAAACTCAGATACCCCGGTATTTCATCCAATGATGTTACCGACCATGTTTGCAGATGTCGAACGAGACAGACAAATCGAGCTCGTCCGAGAAAAGCTGGAGCAACTAGGACGACGGATCGATCGCATTGCCTTGATGAAGCCCGCTGTGAAAACTTCAGCGAGCGTCCGTAATGAGATGGAAACACTCAATGATGACGAGAAAGCCATATCCAGTCCATTCGGTGCCCATCAACTTCAGCAGGGCATGTCAACTTCGTCTGGTTCAACCACCCTCACTGAGGGTAAGGGTCTCGTTCCACCTTGTACTTTTCCAGACGAAGAAAGTCTTCCGACCGCCAAGCTCTGGCAGCAAATAAGTCGTCTCAGAGTTGGTCTGAGCAATTGGAGAAGACAGCTACTCAAAATGATTTCTCACGTCGAAGATCTCAACCGTATCGAGTTTGCACCTCGTGGTCCTTTCAACAGCACATACAGAGAAGAGCAAAGACTACAGTTCTTTCTCACAGGAGAGCGAATCAGAGACAGGCTGCAAGAGCTAGTTGATGAGTATGATGAATACATCAGAGAATGTTCACACATAATGGATGGGTTCAGCTTGGCAACTCAGCTTGTAAGTTGATCACAGTCTGTAGGTCGTCACAGCGACGGACTATTCGCTAATCTCTTTCGCGTAGGAAATCAGCCAAATTGGTCGTAGCGATGCGAAGACGAACCAAGAGATATCGCGAGTCAACCTAGATGTTGCCAAAATGACCCGACGGGACGGCAGCATCATGAAATCAATCGCGGTGCTAGGGATGATCTTCCTACCTGCTTCTTTCGCAACGGTGCGTGATTCGTTTTCCCATATGAACATGAATGTTGGGTTGATCTCTGTCAGGCATTTTTCTCTATGGACTTCTTCGACCTTCCCAAAGAAGGAAAAGGTGGAATACTGTCAAGTCTATTTTGGATTTACGTACTCGCCGCGGTTTTGTTGACATTGGGCACGATGGCTATCTTCTATTTCTGCATCTTGAAGAAGAGGGACAAAGAGGTTGAAAGCGATAGGAACTCAACAGCAGAATCGTTGGTCTGAGGTGTTGTCTTCAGCCTTGAATTTCAGTCTCGAATGTGTCGACAATTATTACATAAGAGCGGCTTCAAATTCCTCCTCGAGTGACCGAGCTAGAACGCAGTGGGCAAGTAAGCTGACATCAGATCAACCCATTGAGTAGCTCAGGACCTTTTTCCAACAACTCATGTGACACAGTAATCAGACATTCGTTAGTGCAGAAGGAAATGATTCGACGCATACAGCGGCTATTCGGTAGCTTTGTACCCATGTCGGTTCAGCCGCAATTTGATGTGGTAGCTCGTACTCAACTGGAAACCCTTGTATGGTAAAGTAATCACCCCACCATTAGCTGCGAAGACGAGGCATTTGGTGCTGCCTGTAACGTCGGATCAGGCTGCAGGATCGCTAGCGAGAATTGTTGCTGAGTTCTCCGCCCACGCGCTCATAACATCTGCCCGACCGCAATAATTATTGTTTACATAAGTACTGAAGTACTATAGTCATCAGAATTGGCACGGAGATTGTGTCTTCTTGACTCTTTTTAGAGGTATTCACGCCAGCATCAACAGTCGTGTAAGCACCAGTGCTTTCGGAGACACCGCCAGAGTAAAGCTATCTGGCGGGGCAAGTTTCTTCATTCATCGCTGCTTCCTTATCTCCTTCTCAAGTATTGTCTTCAAAGAGTCGCGCCACGATGAGGGAACAAGAAGCATCAGATTCGTCGGGCAAGAAAATCGCCAATGGAGACAGGTCCATGGATGAGATCTGGGCAGCCGCAGCCGAGCATTTCCGGGAAATATGCGGCGAGTCGCTTAACAAGGGCGAGCTGAAGAGCTTCGAAGACGTGCAGAAGCAGATTGAGAACAGCGGCAAAGTCAATACGAGCCCGAGTCCGGAAGACAGCTGGGAAACAGCTAAGAGTGTCGGCCTAAGTTCTCTCAAGTATCTCAAAATGCTCGTGGGGGCTGCTTCGCAGGCCTCTTCATTTGTGAGTCTGATTTGAGTTTCATTTTTGCCCGACTTGACCGCTGATGCAGCCAGATCCCAATACCGGCTGTGGCAAGCAATATCACAGCCAGTGCGCTCTCATTCGTGTTCGACATCCCTCAGGCTATCAAAGGGTATAACGATGCCGTCGATCAAGTCTTTAGCGAAGTGTCGTCGGCGCTGTCTCAGTTCCAGATCTATCAGTCCATGGACAGCGTCGATCGCTTGCTAATCAACCAGATCAATCTGGTTCTCATACGCTTTGTTGAGGTTTGCGCTCATGTCGTCAAGCATCGCCAGGGCCGCAGACGCGACCGAGTCTTCCAACGGGTCAAGTCCATTTTCGACAGCGATACAGACCTAGCTGGTGCCATGGCAGCATTTAAAGGGGCTCTGCAGGGACAGCGCGATGTTGAAGGAACTGTCACGCTTGCGGTGGTTGTAGAAACGCAAAGGGCTGCGCAAGAGACCCACAAGGGCGTCCAGTCTCTGACAGACGACGCTGACCGCACGAAGACACTGACCAAGATTCGCGATAATCTTGGCGTGCCGTCGACTGTCCGGCTCGACACCAACACCACGCAGACAGTTACCACAATCTCGGACAAATGTTTCAACGGCACAGGTTCGTGGATCTGGACTCATGAAGCGTACAACTCATGGACAGCATCAAACGATAAAGATGTATTGGTTGTGTCCGGTCCTGAATCATCCGGAAAGACATCTGTCACTGCTCTCATCACCAAACGCCTCGAAGAGCAAAAGGGCCGCATCTATGTTGCCCACTACTTCTTCCCAGTCAGCACGAAGAAGTCCGAAAATGACAAAAACCCCGTACAGACAGCGTTGAAGTACATGGCTTTCCAAATTGCTCGCGTCGATGCCACGGTACGAAAAGCCTTGAACAAGGCGTGTGACGCTGGGCCTGCCGCATTCCGTCGCTCATCAAGCACCGAGAACTTGGAGAAGCTGTGGTCAGACCTCAAAATTGGAGCACCTGGATCAGGAGCTACATACTACCTGGTGTTCGATGGAATTGAGAATCTTCATCAAGATCAGTTGAAGATGCTCCTTGAGTTTGTCTTCGGTTCTCGGTCGAAAGAGAAGCCGGCTCGGCGAGTGCGCATCTTGGTGAGCGGCACAGACGCCAAGCTGAAGACTGCGTACCAACCAAACTTCGACGATGCGTTGAAAATTCAAATGGAGAAGGAGAACGAGCAGGATATGCGGCTCGTCATCATTGAGTCTTTGAACAAGCAGGGTGTGCTTCCAAACGCCGGGACCAGTCCGCAACAGCAAAAGGCTAGAGACAAGATTCTTGAGAAGCTTCCACAGAATGTGAACGGAAGATACTCGACATTCCAGCCTCAGCTAGACGGAGTCATACGTCTCCTGAGCACACGTATGGCTACTGTTGAAGAGTTAGACCGTATGCTTGATCAGTCAATGGGCAGTTTCGAGGCGGCGATCAACGATCTCCAGCGGTCATTGACAGCTGATGAAATCATCGAGCTAAACGAAATGCTGAAATGGGCCTTGTACAGCCACTACTATCTTACCTTGGAACAACTTGAGTCCGCCATGGTAAGCACCCTAAGGTATGCTCTTGGCTAGTATGCAGAAACTGACATCAGGTGTAATAAAGAGGCTATTTTCAGGCATAGAATCTCTCACGTCTCTCGAGTACGTTATCAAAAATAAGTACTCTGCTGTCTTGATGATCGAAGATGGTAGTGTCTTCCCTCAAGACGGTGTTGTAGAGTATTTGCAGAAGCAGAGAGAACTTTCGAACCGCTCGGCCAACTCCAAAGACCGCCCTACGATCAGCATGACCATCACTATCAACAATGTCGACCAAGAGCTTTGTGGGCACTTTCTCTGGGATCTTGCAGATATGGCGATCCGGGACAAGTTCAAATTTGATTTCAACAACTCAAACGCTCTGCACAACAGCAGTCAGCGTATTATTTCAGTGGATGAGTTTGAAGCCAATCAAACGATTGTGACTCGGGCATTCAACTACCTGAAAGGCAATCCCCAGGAGGAGACGAAAACCATTGGAGAGTACCTCGTCTGTTGGCTTCCCTACCACCTGGGCCAACTTCGACAACTCGAAGACGAGGGCAAGGGAGAACTAACAACAAACGAAAGGGCCGAGATTGGAAGTAACCTGTATAACCTTTTCAAAGACGACGCGGTCTTCAAACGGCATAGAGCATCTCTCGGAGAGGTTTATTGGTGGGCAGACGAGATGACAGACGTTCAGAAGTGGTTAACCGATCCAACAGTCGTCCGGAAGCTCGATAAGCCATGGCGTGCCAAGATGGAGCGTGCACGATATCCCACAAGAGGATATCTCAAAGAGTTCGTTCATATGGTGGTACGAGGGTTCCTGAGAGAAAGGAGCTGGAATGTACCAAGCGCTTGCCGGTGGCTGAAGGAGTTCATGGCCGCGGTAAGTCTGCCTGAGAAATGTGGCATGAAGCCTTTGAGCATGGGATACTGACAGGAGTATTGAACAGGACAAGGACAAGATTGAGAAGCTTCTAGATGCCCCAAGCCCCGATGGAGATGACGCGAACCAAGAGGGCTCATCATCTCCATCTTCATCCGCTGGCTCTAGCGACGAGATCGACTGGGACGTTGCCAGCAAGTGGTGCCAAGATATCCTCGGACTGTCAGACGCAGACCTTGATTCACTTTGGTATGAAAGACTCGCTGAGGCATCCTCTTGGGTGGGGAACAATCCCGATCAAGCTCTATCGCTTTATCAGAAAGCCGCTCAACTTGAAAACCCAAGCTGGCGGTGTTACCACGGCCTAGGCATGACGTACTATAATCGGGAGCAGTTGGAGCAGGCCATCGAACAAGTCGAGCTTGCTCTGAAGGAGGCCGAATCGGAGAAGACTACGCCAAAGCCAGATTCAAAGGAGATCGTCGGCTTGCACTTATTGCTGGGCAAGTACAACTATGAGACGCAGAAGATGGCCACTGCGGCAAAGCACTACTTGGTGGCGTCTCAAAACGATGACACTGAACAGGCAATCGCCGGACAACTGGGACTTCTGAAGGCAAAACTCATGTCCCCAGATGTAACCGAGGCTGCACAATTGCTGAAGACCATGATTGCTGCAGAAGGCGGTGAAAGTAGGATGATTGAAATCCTGAAGAAGATAGCGAGGGACTTTGAACACGACGTTCTCGCTTCAAGCATGTTCAAAACCACGAAAAGCGATCCAGAGCTTCTAAAGAAGATGGTCGACACGATGTACGCCGCCACGCGGAAGTCCACCACGCAAGAAGAACGCCATGCCGAGTCTTCTAATTTAGATGCGCAATACGAGGAAGAAGAAGCCCGAGGAGTGCTCCTCTTCGACCTTGGCCTCGCCGCGTATAAGTTCGGAATCACACTGGATGAAAAAGAGCCCGTGAGCGAAGCCCTACGTCTTTGGACTGAGAGTCGAGACCAACTCGCCAACGTGGGTGGCCGCAACGCCTACGTTGCGCGGTCTAACGCCACCTCGGCTCTTGCGAACCATTATTTCTCGAACCAGGGAAAGGGGAAAGACGAAGAAAACCTCGAAGCATTGGCCAAACTCGTCCAAGAGGAATCAAATAATTTCGACGACTCTTTAACGGCACTCCTAGCCGCACTCCATGCGTTACGTGGAGAGAAGGATAAGGCCAGATCGGTGCTCAGGCCTCGGGTAGTACAGGCTCTTCAGATACTTTCTGACGAGATGCCCGATAATGATAACTATGGCTTCTTCCTCCTCCAGCAAGTGTTGAAGAGCTATCAACAAGAAGACTTCAAGGGCGTGTTCATCGCCCATTCCTTGCGGGGCCAGCCAGATCTTGTGACGGGCGGTCTGAACTTTACAGCCGAGGATATCAAGGATGAAGTTACAGACAAAGAAAAGGTTCTCGAAGTTCTTACGGTACTGGCGAAGGGAACTACCCAGCTCGTGAGAACTCAAGTGCCAGATAGTGCGTCACAGCTAGAGCGCATCCAGGCCGCCAAAGCACACATTGAC